GTCACACTTATACAGAGCTAATAGATCAAATAAATCCATTAAAAAGGTATAATTAAAACGGTTGTCTTTTTCTCACAGACATGTTCCAAATTACCTCTCAGGGACTGAGGAAGTAAAAAGAAAAAACAAGGGCGGATTGGCCAAATTGCGGACAATATTTCACCTTGTGGTAGCATCTGGCCGCAGAGAATGAAACACATTGAGACTTTCAGTCAGGATATTAAAAGGCAAATTGCTGTGTGACTGTGTTCCGCCCATCGCTTCATACATCACACTGAAAAAGAAATATCAATTTGTTATGTCTTCCTTACCTTTTACAATATTAAAATGTTAACATCGAACATGTGAAACAGAATTTATTACACCAATTCGGAAGTGTGTTAAAAACGAATTTGGGGTGAATTCATTAGCTTACCGTTTGTGAAATGGGCCTCGGATTCAATATTCCTCCGCGGACAATTTACATTCAACGCCACGCACGCCCAGTTGAAATACTGTGTGCGCTATTCTTAAAACAGTAGAACATATTTGGGTATTTTAATTTCTTTCTTAGAGAATCGGTGACTTATTCGATGTATCTATATTTCCTGTGTTTTATAGCTAAACACATAAAAGGGTATTTTTCTGAAAGAAACATTCGAACAATAATAACAGTAATTGTTAAAAGTTTACAACATAGCCATGAAGTCTCTAGACTCCTGAACGAGATATAACCTGTGTTATAGAAGTCAGTGTAGTATCTCAGCATATGACAAAGATTACACTATTTTTAGCAAAACAAATTAACCATACAATCACTAAATTTGAATTGTTTTCGACTGAGATTGTAAAGTACTACTAAGTAGTATTGTAAAAGCGAGTTTACTGGGCTGAGCAAAGACTGGCAACGCATTGGCAGCTCATCTGATGTTTCAAATGTCCAAGGGCATCATTCCCACCTCCCATCAAGTGGCTCGTTTGCTTCCTTCTTTACATAAAAAAAGTACAAATCTACTATGCTGATGTCCGCAGCTATGTCATCATCATCATCAACACACTTTTGAGCACGGGTCTCCTCTCTCGGAGAGGTTGAGAAAAATCTTCGATCTGCTGGTTTTATAATTATGTTAAATTTCAAATTAAATTTCGCAAAACTTAAAAAAAAAACAAAAACTTAAAAGTGTGAGATTGGATTCGAACCCACGGGCTCTGGTTGAGAAGCGGTAGGTCAAACCTTTAGGCTACCATGACACTTCTGTAAGATTTCCTAAAATTATTCCTATCGAATATTGCTATTTAATATTTTAGTTTTGTCTAGTTAACATTTTCAAGGAGAGACATTAAACTTTCACTTTTTAACCTTAACTTTTCGCCTAACTCAAATTTTCGTTCCCTTCGATATTGCCATTGACCTAATTTTGAGAATAGAACCCTAGCCATTTTTCTACCAAGAGACACTTACACGAAGAGAGTGTGGAATGTTTAATGTCACCCTCCATAGAGGCCGTGATTCTTAAAAAACAATCCCTTCTTTAGACTCTCTTCTTGAATGCAAAGTACTTTTGTTATTTATTCCAGGTACTTACACAGTTTATAGCTATAAAATAATTTCAAAACCGATTACCTATTTGATTCGTCGTTGAAAACAATATTTATGTAATAAGTTCACAGTCCACCATTGTAATATGGTTTTGCAACCTTATAAGTTCAGTTTTAGTAGCAATACAACTCCACGTCGAAGAGTTTATAAATATTGCAATCTACCTATTTCCTACCTTACCAATTCTGCAGCCAAGCACTAATGTGAGAATTACTGCGTTCCAGTTTCAACGGGTAGGGGTGCTGCTGAAAGTACAAGTACAAGGGACTTGTCATCTTATGTCTCAGGGTGGCAGGCGCAGTGGCAGTGCCCCTTCGATCTTTGCAATTTAGAGCTCTGAGCGACACTGCAACTGTTATGGATAAGGGTATCGCTTACCACCAGGTGCACGACTTGTTCGTCCCGTCGCTTGGTAGGTATTATATTAAATTTTTGTATTATTTAAAAAGTTGAAATGGTGAGTCTGAGAATGAAATAGGCTTTTGTGCAGAGTAACTTTTAGTTTTAAACTAATTCCTACTTATAAGTTGAAACATTTATTGCAATACTTTTTAAAGAGTCTTGTAAAGGAAAACAGTCATAAATATCAAATGTCAAATACTCGCCATGATATTTTAAACATTGGAAAGGAAGGGTAGAGGGTCCAAATTTTCTAATAGACCAGCCTGTATTATGAAACATAATTACATTTTTTAAATGTTGAAAAAAAGGTTGACAACCAAGCAAAAAATATATTTAAACGGTAGTTTTCTATTTTTCTGTTAATAAACGTTAAGAACTTCAAATAATTCACATTTTGCAATTTATGTTTTTATTTAAATTCGTTTAATACAACAATAATAATAATAAAAGACCACCTTTAAAATCAAAAATAATTTTTTTAACACTGGTAACACACAATTGGGATCAAAAACATTTTTTTGGCCTCATTTTTGTTGTATCATTGATATCATTCGTGCTTCGTTTCTCAAACTTGAATGTTTTCATGTCTCGGTAGTACGTTTGTTAAATTATTGTGTGTTGTTGTTAAAATTGTTGCCCATTGTTAATATTTTCTTAAAAATAATTAAATTATAGGAAATAAGAACCTCAACTTTTTCTGATTTCGTTAAAAATAAGGTATTGCTCACCTGTATTCACACCTTGACAATGAAATTTCTTCCAAGCCTATTTTTTATGATACCAAGTGATAGGGTGAAATAGTTTTATGCCTGGTAATAAACGACGCGCCTGTCCATAACAGTTGCAGTGACGTGTATATACAGATATAAATATCGTAAAGACCTGAGGGACACCGCCACTGCGCCCATCTGCCAAAAGTACTGCCAAAGTCCCATGTGCCTGTAATTTATTCACATTACTGCTTGACGGCTGAAATAGGTTAGGTAGCAGTACTGCCCTTGAGAAACTCTATCAGAAAGAGTTCTAATGCTACTAAAGTCGTTTCCAAGTCATTTTCATATAATCAGCTAAACAAAAGAAAACGAGCCCATGCAGCGTCCGCAACTCCGTCATCCGGTCAGTTATACCCAGCAGGGCGATGTGTTTGCCTTATTTGCCTAAGGCTCTTATTTATTAGTTGACACCCTTTTAAGTGTATGTTCAGATTATGAAACGAAACAAATGTTGCTAAGGAGACGTCCAGAATCACAAAAAAGATTGCAAAAAAAACTCGTAAATGCAGGAGCTTTTATTACGGAACTGCAGATTTTTTGGCGTAGGTAGTAACCTACTCCACATAAATATGGCTTTGAAATGGCTTTTTTTTCCAAATTACAGAGGAGTTTTAATGACAAAAGTTATTTCTTATCGTTTACTGTGCATGCCCTTAAAAGGATGTCAGCTAATAAATTATAACCTTAATATAAAAGTCCCACTTGAAACCCAGAAGTGGGTTCTAATTTAAACTTTTTTATATGGTTCAGGAGGTTTGAGTCAACCAAATTTCTTTGGGTACCTTCGGACCCAAGGGAAAATATCTTTTTGTCTTACACAGTCCTTTCCTGCTTTAGGGATGAATAAGGGGTATGTTTTCACTTTCTATCCTCATTACCAAGTGAAATTGCCCTATAACATTGCTCATGTACATTTCGGCCTTTGTTATTTTGTTTGTTTTAACGTCCTTTATTTAGTACTTAGTAAAAATGAAAGATTTGAATTTATAGGCCGGTTTTTTTTATATTTCAGGCACATTCATATAATGCGTCCTTAATACTTTTATGATGTCGACGGCTTTTATCTAATTACCTAGTTCGGATTCTTATCTGACGTTTACTTTGGGCCAGGGCTGGGCAAAATACATGCTACGTCTGAATTGAAATACAAATTACAAAATACTTCCTTATATGTTTTTAAAATAGGAAATACCTAATACTTTCTTGGGGTACATTTAAAATACAAAATATAAATAGAAATGTCAAAATACTTTATTAGTATACCTGTCGCGACATGTGGAAACCAACAATTTCCTTCAAAGTTTTTTTCCTTCCACAATACATATCTTAAAAAAGAAGTTTTAAATTATTCAGTTTTACCAGAAAAAAAATCTGTTAAACCAATCAATACAACCATACTACAGAGCAGGAAGTACGTATAATTATTATTAATATTCCCATACAAGACGAATACTTTATATACGTGTAAATGCCATTCATAACAAGTTCACAACATAAATTAGAAAGATGGTTCACTAAAATCACAAATTCACAATGCCATTATAACCCTTAGACTACTCAAGTTATAATCGCGAAAAGATGACTTTGACAGCTTTGACATTACCATGCACTGTTGCCATCTGCAAATGTGCTTCTACTGCATTGAATACGAGTATTTCATATCCATAGAAGCTCAATTTTCAAACGTTCCATTTTACACACATTTTATACAAAAAAAAGTATTTTGTTGAAATATATTTCACAAATAAATTATTTGATACACAAGTTACAAAATACATTACGGTCAGACATTTGAAATACCAATTACAAAATACATTTTTAGGGAGTAATTGAAATACAAATACAAAATACGTATTTGTATTTTAAATACGTATTTCAATTACAAGTAATTCAAATACTGCCCAGCCCTGCTTTGGGCATTCCATTCAAATTATTAAGAAAAACGACTACTTTTATTTAAAAACCATCAAAAAAGAGCTTTAAATACATTTCCCCGCACCAAAAATAAAAATAATGGAAAACAAAAGCTACGGTCGACAACAAAGGCTATTGTTATGCTGTATAGTTATTTTACATAGTACCTAAAAACCCAAATGAAGCTGTTAACCACACATAAGTATCGCGGGAATCAATTCGATTTTGCCCATCAATAGCAGCTACTTAGTTCTGGATGTTACCTGTAACAGGTAGGTGGGTGGGGGGATAGAGGGGAAAGCCAGGAGAGCTCTGGAGCAGTGCAAGCGCCATCGTCGACGGGGAAGCACGTTTCGCGCGCTCTCTCACAGTCAAACTCACGCACTGTACATAGAATAAAATAAAATTTTAAGTAGAGTGGCCGAGTGAAGTGACGAACGTGTTGTGACGGTGTACTGCAACCATCGAGCTTCCGAGTTTAGTTCTGTAAATAATTTAAACCGTTACATATGTAAGTTTATTGTTTATTTATTAGTTTAAGATGAATTATGTGTAAAGATCCTAAAATATTTCTGAGACAGCGTACAAATTTGTCTATGAGCACATGTTTAAGATCTTTTGGTAGTTAATGGCTTATATAAACTATTGTTAATATATAATTAACAGAAATATATAAACAAGAGAAAAAGTTGTCGGAAAGCTCACTGCATATTGTGCTTTAATTAAATTAAAAATATCAACAGTTTTATTCATTTCAAACAGAACATACTTTGATGAAACATTTTGATCTTTGATGAACAAACCTTTTTTTTATTTTACCATATACTACTCGTAATGAATTTATATAAAAATCAATGAGAACATTACTCCCGTTAAAAGAGTAAAATGTAGCAAATAGCCTACTAACTAGAGCAAACATATACCCCTATTTTTAAGGTACGACAGGTACGAGGGCCATAATAGAATTATCGCTACGACCTAACAAAACCTTTGGGTCAGAGTTACTTGTTGCTTTCGTACTAAAGCAAGAACGGTTTGAAAATTCGTATTGTGATAATAAAAACTGTATAAATTGTCATTTGGTAAACATAATATCTTGTACTGCGTGGTTCCTGGTTAGGTAAGAAACCACCCCATATCTGACAGTGGACATTGTAGAGACAGTGACAACGTAATCGATAAGTTCAGAAGCAGTAACGGCGTTTCTATAGACGCGTTTAAAAATAATTTTTCAAAAACATCTGCGATTGCTGGAAATGAATAAGCATACTCACATGTTCGCCATAATGACAATTTAATTTCTGAATTTATCTATTAATGTAATATTTTTTTAGTACCAGTAGAGCTTCTTGTGAAAGGGTTCGTCCAGGGTAGTACTGCCACCTTACCTATTTCTGCCGCCAAGCATAATGTCCGCATTACTGCATTCCGGTTTTGACATGGGACTTGTCAACATATGTCTCAGGGTGACGACCGCTGTGGCAGTGCCCCTCAAATCTTTGCGACTTAAAGCTCTGAGTGGCACTGCAACTGTTATGGACAGGCGTGTAACTTACCATCAGGCCCACGATCTGTTCGTCCCGTCACTCGATATTATATATTTAAAAAAGTAATTGATAAAAGTACGATTAAAAGGATTATTTTTTGAATGCAAAAAGTGTCTTAATTGAAGAACTGTAGCAGATTGCCGTCGGTGTTACTTATTGTCTAGTTACCGTAAAATGTACTAATTTAGTTTTGAAGTTCATATGATCCAATTGATGGACAACAATGTTGTTTAAAATAAATTTTATTCCTTAAAGTGAAAGAGAGAGCGAAGTGGTAACCTCATTCTGATTATGCTGGAATAGGTTTTGTGTTAAGTCAATCAGATAAGGCAAACATGTGTAATTATTAAATCTTTCTCCTATTTACCTACTTATTAAACAGTGAACTATGTAAGTAAGAAAGTAAATAATTTCAATATAATTAGCGTTCACGACAACTACGTAAATTTCTTTGTCAGCAAAACTTCATTAATTCAGAATCGAAATTGAAAGTTAGAACAAACAACCTTCATAAAATGCCTTATTATTCAAGAAATTTTGCGCAATACTAATTTTGTAGATATTCGGCTAATATTATTAATTTTGGCAAAATCGAATCAACTTATTAAGGCAAGGCGGATTGTAACTTTGACTCGGCAACTCGTCTCAAGGGTATGTCAATGGGGGACGTTAATCTGTGCTTTGGCGGCGTTCCAAGACTGAACAGATTAGATATGGAAGTAGGGGGAAGGTCTTAGATCATAACTATATCTTCAGCAGCAAATATTCTTAATCATCTACATGTTCACATGACTTTCAAATACTATGTCTACAAAGTTCCAGTGCTTGTTTCCACAAAATCATATTTAAAAAATTATGGAATCGCAGTCCTAGCATCTAAATTGTCAATGTGTTTTTCTTTTGTTTCATTTCTTGAATATAAACAAAGTGAAATTTAGGACCACGCCTTTTGCCGTCAGGTTAGATTTAGTAGCAGTAGAGCTCCTTGTGAAAGAGTTCCTCCTAGGTAAGATGGCAGTACTTCTTGCCTACTACTTGCTACTAGTACTTCTACCCTGGACGAATTCTTTTACAAGGAGCTCTTCTGCTCCTAATTCACTCTGGCGTACTTCCCAGGATACCCAGACCAGAACCAATAAAAAAAAATATTTCTCAAATTCGTTGTTCAATTGATCTCTGCGTAGCAACGGCGTTCTTTACTCTGTATGATCCCAATTACATCGAAACAAAGCTTGTTATTCTTACACTTGCAAATAATACATTGATTAAAACTATAAATGCTACACAAAATACATATACAGCGTGGAAACTACTATCGTATAATATAATATATTATCTATATAATATAATAGTACTACTATGTATAATATTAGTCAGTAAATAAAAAAATCGTTTTTCAATAAATGGAAAGAGATTATTATCCTTTAATGGCGGGCATTCGTTTCAACGTGCAATATATACATATAATTTATAAGTGCTATAATATACATATTAAAAAAATATAATTCGATTTGTTTTATGATAAAAAAATATACACGCGATTTGAAGCGATGCCACACGATGCACAAAGGGAAGGTACTGCGATGCGTAAGTAAACGGCGTTATGGTGCGACACCGCATTGCTCATGTAGCACTCAGAGCGTTGAAATCATAGCATTGCGACGACACGCAATGCACTTGCAACGTTCGTGTGGCATAGCTCTTACACCCAAAAAAAGTTTCATTTCCAATGTATAACATTCGCGAAAACTTTAGAACTCGATATTCTCGTCAGCATCTACGTTATATTATTACAGTATTTTCTCTCAGTTATCACAAAGTCTTATACATAGAAGTCCGTGCCTCCCTAAGGGCACTACCTATATCGTTAATAATGTACGTCTCACTAAAAGATTAAACTCTCTCTGCCTTGAAAATGCCTTATGTTTACCTGACGTAATTTCAGATACTGTTCACTCAGTAATTTGTATTCGAGGCTCCATGCCACTAGGTCTATAATTCAAGTACGTAATAATTGGTATAGACTGAAAAAATAAGTACATGTGCTATTAAAAAGCTATTCGATGGTCGAACAATTTTTGTGGTTGTTTATGTGTGTGTCCATGGCACCCGCGACACAGAGTTTCCCTAGTGCGGGGCTATGTTGTGTGTGTGCGTTATTATTACTATTATTACTTATTTATCGGTAGCTTTTGTTGAAATCATGTACATCTAGGCATGAATTAACTTTAGTCACAGTCACGGAAGTAAATTTATATGGTCTGTGCTCACAGTCTTTGTAGTAAAAGAACATTGTAATTTTGTGAAATTGCTTAGATATAATTTTATAAAAAAAATAAAATTTAATGTTGAGAACACTGCTATCCTTTCCACTTTGCAGTATTAGCAGAGAGCTTTAAAAATACACGTATATAACTGAGTAAAAGTTTGCCATACAAGACATGACTTATTTATCAAAAGTCGAGTGAAATCCAATAATAGACTAAGTTGATTTGTCGCTTGTGAACGGGGGAAGGTTAGAAAATATCAACTTCACTGAGGTTTCACGATGAAGACTTACTTTGAAAGATTGCTTTGCGTATTTCAATAGACGGTAAGTTTTCAGTGAATGGCAGTAATTTTGATAATTTAGTAATAGAAAATCTGAATTTTGCCTTTTTAATTAAATTTCGTAAGAAACATAAATACAATACATTATTTCAAACTTTCACCATTTTTACACTTTATTTGATTTTAAAATCGGGACTTAATCGTGTCTAAACAAATTGTATTCACCTTGTGATGACTTTTTTTTTTATAGTACCAAGTGCTTTAAATCGCAAAGATGTTAGCCAGCCACTGCGCCCATTACTAGGGTAACGGGCACAGTGGACATAAGACGACAAGTTGGCAAGTCCCATGTGCCTATAATTTCACCAGCACCCTTACCCTTGAAAAGCAGAACGCAGTAATGCTCACAGTAACCCTTGACGACAGAAATAGGTAAGGTGGCAGTACTTCCCTGGACGAACTCTTCCACGCGGAGCTCTGCTACGAAAACTCTTTTACTGGTTCCTTTTATTACCCTGCTTACTGATTCCTGGTCACTTACTTTTAAAATTTTGAATCGTTCCCGAATCCCCTTTTGTTTCCGCTATTATTAAACGAGAAGTCCTCTCAAGGCGAGAGGACGTGCTCATAAATGACTCTCAAGTAAAACTCAAGCTTCACATGATTTACTGTTTTTAAATGTTATATCTAGATATACGTTTACAGGCTCTTTTGGTTGTCGGGATTGTTTAGTAGGGAGTGATAAAAAGGAGGGATGGTGATGAAGGAGGTTAGCATCGTTCAACTTCGACATTTTGCAACAGTCATGGTCTCGAAGGGGCTAAAGGTAAGCGTCCCATTGCAACACGTCCGAAATGTCGAGGTAAATAAAATACGTTTTTACACGATTAAATACAGATTTTAAAATCAAATAATATAATACAAATAATGCGTAGAACTTTAGAAATCTAATTACGTGATCCGTTAAACACGATCTGTGAGATCACGTAAGGTCACGAGGCCTTAAAAAGCAAGTGGCTGCTTACAAGTCTCATCTGTTTGATCTTTGTGTACAGATTTGGAATGTTATAGACCATAGACCAGATTATTAGTTAAACCTTTTTTACACTAGCGTTCAGTAAATAAAACTCTTATGACTAATAACTTTTTAACTTCTGATATTGCGATTGTTTAGTTCTCGTAGGTGCGCCTGATTGCACCGATTTTTTTTTAATGTTATTAAGTGACGGGACGAACAAGTCGTGCGCCTGATGGCTAGCTACACGTCTATTCATAACAGTTGCAGTGCCACTCAGAGCTTTATATCGCAAAGATCTGAGGGGCACTGTCACTGCACCCGTCACTCTGATACATAAGTTGACAAGTTCCATGTACCTGTAATTTCACTAGCACCCTAACCCTTCCAAACCGGAAT